CTTGTATTTTAAGCATATATAAAGTCGCCGGTCAACCACCACCTCCATTTCCTGAAAGACTTAGACAATATGAGTTAGATAAACAATTTTTAAAGTTCATGGAAGTACTTAAGAAGTTAACGATAAATATTTTTTTCGCTGAAGCTTTGGAACAGATGTCAAGTTATGCAAAATTTATGAAGGAGATATTAAACAAGAAAAGGAAATTTGGGGATTACGAGACAATTGCACTAAGTGAGGAGTGCAACGCTATATTTCAGAAAAAACTTCCTAAGAAACTTAAAGATCCTTCTAGCTTAACAATTCCTTGTGTATTTGGAGAAAGATTTTGTGAAAAAGTTTTATGTGATTTAGGATCGAGCATTAATGTGATGTCTATATCTATATTTAGAAGTTCAGGTTTAACAAATATTTCTCCCACTACTACAACCCTTCAGTTAGCAGATCGTTCTATCATTTATCCAGAAGGAGTTATAGAAGATGTTCTTGTTAAAGTGGATAAATTTATCTTTTCTGTGGACTTTATTATATTAGATATGGAGGAAGATAAAGAAAATTCAATTATTTTGGTGAGAAATTTTCTTTTTACTTGACAAGCTATGATAGATACACAAAAAGGAGAGTTGACTATGAATATTAACGACCATGAAGCCACTTTTCGACCATGAAGCCACTTGAATATTAACGACCATGAAGCCACTTTTAATGTTTTAAAGACTATGAAATATCTAGCTGAGAGAAAAGATAATGATTGCTTTTGAATTGATGGAATTGATTATCTATGTAAAGATCATTTCCAAGAATGTTTTGAGAGTAAGTTAACAGATGAGACCGAAATGGACTTTCATGATGAGTTGAAAATGTTGTTTAAAGAAGACTGTATGTATGTTTAGGAGAGGTGCTAAATGATGGACGTTACAAAAAATAATAAACTTTTAATTCCATCTGTTGAAAAATCTCATGAACTTAAGATGAATATACCCTATAAAAATTTAAAGCCTACCTATTTAGGGAATTCTTCTACACGACCATTCTTTATATCTTCAGATTTGACTCAATCACAAGAAGAACATGAATTGAATGATGAAATCAGTAAAAGATCTCCTAAAAAAGAGTTATTCAAAATCACTGAATGACATATTCCATGTTATACAGACAAATTGAATGACATTGTGATGCTAGGGCAACCAGAGTAAACATTGGATACATCAGGTCATGGATGGTAGACCAAGCTCTTCAAGGGAGTTAACCAATGGTTATCTTTGTTATCTATTTAGTGTGATTGTTGTTATGTTGGATTGAATAATAGTGAGATGATGGACTTTGATTCGGGTTTGATGTGCAAGAGTGGATTGGATTAATTTTGTGAGGTAATTCCTTCGTCATGACTAGATTTGTATATGATTTCTGGTAGTAGCAGGTTGACGAGACTGTTTCAATTAAGTTATTAACTGGAGCTGAGCATTGCCTTGAAGCATGTAGAGTTTGGACTTGGACCACTCCATGTCAACTCTATTACTTCCTTTATCTGAATTTGTCTTCACTGAGTAAGGTCATGAACTTACTTAGTGAACAACATTTGGATGAACTGCATTATTTTTATTTACCAGATTGTGTATACCTTAGACTTAGAGTAACTCTAAAATTGGCAACACATGAGGGAATTCTGGTCCATGGATGATAACCATATAAATTTTTATAATGCACCCATGTTATTAGTGTAGTTTCTTCCTTTAGAAATTGAAAGTAAGGAGGGAAATGCGAGTAGAAGGGAGAACGAATTAACCTCAGTTGCTCTTTGTTTATGAATCTGTGAGTCTATGTACTAGAGTTTGTGTGTCTAGGTTTGTGAGTTACGTTGAATGAGTCATTGGAGATGACAAAACTTATCTTAATATCTTAAACTTGTTAGCATCTAGCAATTCCTTTATAAAGTTTAAAATATGTTCCTATTTAATCTTCAGTTTGTACTCGTTCTACTAATTAAAATTTCTTTATAGTGTCATGTCAAGCATGTTTAGGCTAGATTTACTTTCTACTGCAATATTCTACCATGTGTTACTTGTTGATATTTTTGTAGGATGTGTAGTAAATTATAAAAGTGATCTTTCCCTGTCGCATATTTTTGTACTTCATTATTACACATGTTTGAGCTTAAGTTTGGGGGGAAAAGAAAAATGTATCAAATTTAAACCTTACATGTTTTCAAAAGTACTACAAATAAATTTGTATTTTACTTCTATTGATTATTATTTTGTAGAGTCACCTTAAGGATGTTAGAATTTTAAGTATAAAAATGGAGTAAGAAAACTTAGCTGACATTTTTAGTGAAAAAAGGTGAACCTAGAGTTAAGAATATTTACTGGAGAGCTTGGAAAAATGAATAACTATCTTTAGTAGGAAAAATTATATTTTTGAAAAACTAAGGATTCTTAGAACTAAGGATTCTTAGAATTTTTATTTATTTTCAAACATTTAAGGCTCTTTTAAAAAGTATTTACTTTTCAAGTGAAGGAAAGTAATAAGTTTTAACCTTATAGGAGGATAGTGAAATTCAAAATTATTTAAGGGCTTCTCTATATATAGTAATCCTCACATAAAAAAAAGGATCAAAAAGATTCTGTAAAAAAAAAAGAAAAAAAAAGATGCAAAAAAAAGTGAGGAGAAGCTTGAAGAAATGTCATAATAAAAAATTGGTTTCACTTGAGTCTTCCTAGAGTAAAGAACTTTGAACAATCCTAAGCTTGTTTTTTATAGTTAAATTAGTAAAAATTATTTTTAAGAGAGTTCTTAAGTATAGAAAGTAAAGTTCAAAGAATCCGAAGTTGAAAAATATGCATATATTTCTGAATTAGATTGGAAAACAAATTCTCAAGTTTGATGATAAATATTTTAGACTCTGGGCTAGTCTGATTCACTAGAAGTTCTTCTAATTTGAACTATCACATTTTTAGAACAAAATTTTAGCAATTCTAAAAGATGAACCATTAACTCTAATCTACATAAATTATTTTAAAAATGTAGTATTACTTGAGGACAAGTAATGTTTATGTTTGGGAGATTTTGATTCGCCTAAAAATATACTATTTTTCATGCTTTATTTTAGGATGATATTTTACTTTAAAGGTATGTTTTGTTGTGTTTTTGGTTGTAGATACATCAAATTGAAGAATTTGGAGTGATTAGAGAAAAAGGAACAAAAATGGACAAAAACGGAGCAAATCAGGTCGAACCGGGGCACACCGGAGCCAAGGGACCTAAATCAGACACTTAAGTGCCTGTGCCCGGTGCTTAAGCCCCCAAATATGGTGCTCAGGCACCACCAGACAGAGAGGGGGGCGCTTAAGCGCCCAAAAATGACGCTTAGGCGCCAAAGACGATTTTCAACATATCTTCTATAATATACATAAAATTTGGACGATTTTTGAAGCGTTGCTTCTTGCATATCTTAGGGAATTCATTGGAAATGAGAAAAAGGGACTTTCTAGAAGAATTTGGGGTGGTTAGAAGGAGTTTTAAAGAGGCACTTAAGACACCATTTGGAAGATTTAATGAATATGGATAGTTTTGAAGTGACATTTAAGAATCTCTTGGGAAATTATAAAAAAAGGCTTGGAATTTTTTTTAAAATGACTCTAAAAAACTCTTGGAACTAATTAGAAGGGGAGAAGAAGGCTTGGAGAAGAGGAAGAAGGCTTGGATGTGAGCCCCAAGTGGGGCGGCAAGGTGAGAGAGAAAGAGGGAGTGAGAGATTGCTTCTTTTCTTTTCACTTTTTTCTTGGAGAGGATTGTAAGAAGATTGCTTTTGCTATACAAGGAGAGTTTGATTTACATTAGAGATAAGTATTTTCATTGTATTTTGATTTGAATCTAGTGCTTTGTTGTACATTTTCAAAGTCTTGTTCAATAAAAAGTTCTTGTTGTTTCTCCATGTGTAGTGAGTAGTTTTCATTACTCTTTTCTCTTATAATGAATTAGTATGCATGTGTAGGATATAGAATTGAGTAGAGGGAGAATATATTGTGATGATTTTACTTTATTGTTCATTTACATGTAAACTTGATCAACTTGCATGTTAAAATCTGTTGTGAGAATATGTAAGATCCGGGATGGTGTTGTCTCAATCAACTGTGATAGAATCACATGAGATTGTAATGAGAATGTTGAATGAGAATGTAGTCCATATTATTGGGTGCAAATAAATAGGGAAATATTAGAGGACTTTAGAGTGACAGGCTAAAGCCCCCTAATTTGGTATATTATTTTAGGGTTTGATGCGAGATGTTAGCCTCCAGGTGGAGGGATACCAAAGAAAGGAACAAATCAAAGCGATACAATTACGAAGTGGAAAAGAATTGGAAATAAGAGTGCAAAAAGAAACAGAAACTGAAAAAGAGAAAGTGGATACCGAAAAAGAAAAGGATCATGAATACACAGATTTAGAGTATCCATTTACACCAATGAAATTACTGTGGAGAAACCTCCACCACCGTTTCCTCAAAGGTTGAAGAAACACAAACAGAATAAACAATTTTCCAAGTTTTTAGAAATTCTTAAGAAGTTAACGGTAAATATTCCCTTCGATCTTGTGATAATTGTAAGATATAATAAAATCAAATTTTTATCGACCTTCCAAGCTAGGGCGTGTTATTCTATACTAGAACTTCTCTTAAAAGCCACCGTGATTGACCTTGATCTCAGTAGGATCGATATTCGGGACTTAATCAAAATGCTCTATATTACTTGATAAAGATAAGTATACTTGCGTAGAATCCCGACAAATATAATTGAAATCTTACTTTGCTTGTGATAAAGTTTTTGGTGTCATTACTGAGGATTAAAATCTTCAAGTAGTGGTGTCAATTTCACAAGTCCTTACATATAAAAAATATTGGGATCAATATACTAGATCGACAATCTCTTACTCATTAGAAGAAAAGAAGAGCAAATGATAATTACTTATACTTATGATGCATCAAAGTTTTTACTTTATAGTATACAATTAAGTTATTGTTGGAGCTTCCATGTAACTACTAATTACCTAAATATTGTATATAATATATGGCTTTATAAAAGATAGACAATGTAAGCTTTTGACAATAAGACTTTTTTGGGATGTTGAATTCTCTTTTTCCATTAATCACTCTCAAGTAAATTGATTTCACATTCCACAACATTCTAATAAGATTAGAGCTATCAATCTTAATTTTTTTTAGGATTTTCTTTGCGTAGCCTTATTGAGTGATAAGGATGCTATTATTTATTTATATATTTATCCTTTCACACTAATAATGATCCTAGTCAAACTTGAGCTTAAGTTGGTTATTTCTAGCTTTTTATCATATATTTTTGAATAAATGGAAATATAAATGTAAAATTACGATAAAAATAAGAAAAAAAATGAACATAATCTAAGTGATTAAGCTAATAAGATTTCTCAACATAGAATGCATTAAATCATTGGGAGGAATGAAGACATAATTCCTGATCAAAGCAAATTAAAATACATTAATTAAAATTGAAAAGCATATAGTCATTGATGGCAATTAATATACTTTTTTCATATGGGATGAAAGCCAAATTTTAATAACTATACACGATAATCGGACTTCGGACAGCATGAGCACCATCACTCCAGGTCAAAGTGGCTGAGATAAGGGTCTTTGTAGCATCTCCGTCAAGCTGGACTGAAAATGATTTCTTCTCCAACAAAGCTTCAAATGATAATACATTCGGCTCAACACTGACTTTGAGACTAGGAGGAACGTTCACTATAGCCTTGTAAGTGGAATTTGGCACACCCACATTTGTGACTGTTCTTTGGAAGGATGTTGAAAAAGATTTTCCTTGCTGTGTTTTTAAAGCGAAGGATGGATAGTTGAGATCTAACACTGTTCCATTATTTGCAGAGGTGCAACTGCTCTGATCTCCCGTGACAAGTCTTAAATTTTTGGTGCTATAACCTTCACCGCATAGCATTTTAATGTAGTCTATCTCTTGAGCATCATAGACTAGACCAGGATTCAAAGCTGCGAGTGGGTTTATGTGACCTGCTCCATAGGCAAATTCTGCGTCTACATTCTTAGTTGAGCTCATCACATAGGCTGCAAGAATTAAGAATTAAAATTAAATGCTTCTCAAGTCTGAATAAGGAAAATTGTAGCTCAAATTTACTTTTAACAGACATGCATTAACGATTCCAAAAAAAGAATTAATATTACAGTGGTCATAAGAGCAGATTTTACGGCAGCTGAAGACCAAGTTGGATAAAATGACTTGACATAGGCAGCAGCCCCAGTGGCATGCGGGCAAGCCATGGATGTACCCGATATAATGTTATAAGGAACTCCGAGTTTCTCTACGCCAAGTGGAGACCATGCTGCTAAAATGTCCACCCCTGGTGCTGTTAGGTCCGGCTACATTATACATATATGCACATTAATGTCAAAATTACACAAAATAAAATATAATCCAAATGTCAAATTAATTAATTAATTAATTACCTTCAGTATATTTGGGGTGGTAGGATTTGTACCGCGAGAATGATGCCACATATGGCGCTGCCGCATCGAACACAGCCTCACTCTTTGAGATACTCGCCGTAGCGTTGCTATTATACAGATAATAAATGATAGACTATCAAAACAACATAGAGATTAAGGATTAAAGATATATATAGATATATGTATAATTATAGCGAAGAGCTTATATTGTTTCACGTGGAAATTAATTGAGAGAGTATTAATCTTAGTAATTGAGAGCAACCGAGTTTTGTTGGCATAATTTAAAACTTGTTCGGTGCCGTCTGATCCCAACACTGACACAGGAAGCGAAAACTCGAAAGAGACATCATTAGCACCCATTGTCGGCATGATTGCTCCAACCGCCCCTGCAAGCTGCGGCCCCAAGCCGTCGCCAATGCCACTACAAATAACAATTTTCCCCTCCACTAATTTACTGTCCAATTTTCCTACGCCACAATAACTGCACAACAAAAGGTTTGCATAGATAAGCTTATCAATAATTCAAATTAGTTAATGAATAAGTTTTAAATGATCGACAGATCTGTACTAGCAAGTTCACCTTGAGAGGAATGGGTCGGCACCTGCTGAAATGTTAGGTGCATTTTCGCCCAATATCAAAGGATACATTGCTCCATCCAAGCCATAGGTGTTCACTGCCATTCCCTATAACCACGTTAATAACATACGATTAATATGCCAATTGAAATTGTTCAACATTTTAATTTTCCAGGAAATTGATTAGATAACAGCTTTGATATACCAACAGTAAAGTATAAGAAAGTAAGCACCTGAAATTCTACTCCATTACCAAACTTAGTTTGTGCAACGATCTTGCGGTCAATGGTGCTCGCTGCCACAGTAAGAAGCCATGGCGCGTAATTCCCAACGCTGGAATTAGTAGGACCAGAGTTCCCTGCGGAGCTCGCGGTCAGAATGTTGTTCTTCATCGCATGGAAAGATCCTATGGCTATGGGGTCCTGGAAGTAGTCCCCGCCACCACCAATCGAAATAGAGATGATGTCGACACCTTCGGCGATGGCATCATCGAAGGCGGCGAGAATGTCGACTTCGGAACATCCACTAAACCAACAGACTTTGTAAACTGCAATTCTTGCAGAAGGGACGCCCCCGCGAGCAGTTCCCTGTGCAATGCCTGCTAGGCTTGCATTTGTGACAAGACGGCCGGCGGCTGTGGAGGAAGTGTGAGTGCCGTGGCCCTCATTGTCACGTGGGGAGGGTATCTCATCATCACTTATATTTCCATGAAGGTGGTAGTACCGAGCTCCAATGATCTTACTGTTTGTCAATATTGTGTTAAGTTGTTCAACTAGTCAGTGCAAAAACTATGGATTTACATATTGGTTTTGGTTTTAAGTAGAAGAGGAGAGTTTTAAGTACTTGTTGCATGTGAAGTTGTGGTTGGACTGACATGTGCCCTTCCACTTGCGGGGCGGCGGGCCAAAGCCAGCGTCGTCGAAGCTCTGGGACTCGGGCCAGATCCCTGTGTCGATCATGCCGACGATAACATCTGACTCGAAGGGACCACGCGGAGCGCTTGATGGGAACCCCATGAAGTTCCATGATCTTGTGGTGTGAAGTTGTCTTTGCTTGCTAGGGAACACAGACACCAGTTCTTCCATGCCTGAGATTATAAACGTCAAATATGGTAATTGAGGAGAATATTTACTAAGCTAAATTGGCATTAGCTTTGAATTTATGGGTGCTATTTTTGTCTTCTGATGTATTATATATAAATATGTATTACCAGTTAACTTCTTTGCTTCATCATCGGAGAGCATGGCGGCGAAGGCATTAAAACTCTTGCTGTAACTATATATCAGGCGCTTTGACGCTTCCTCGTCGCTGTATTAAACAATATTTTTTCAAAGTAAAATACGTAAAAGAAACAAATCTTTTGTAGTAGATTTTCATAAATCTTGTATTTATTACATATTTATAAATTAGGAGTAATTTTAGTATTTTGAATTTATCTACTTGTTTTCACTATTTTTTATGTATAGAAATGACTAAGGCTTATGAGAAGCTCCTGTTGAGAAGTATAGAAATTGTAATCTCTAGTCTTTTTTTTTTCTCCATTCAGTACTTCTTTTCTTTCTCCATTCAGTACTGGTGAAATCTTTCTGCCCGCGAACGAAAACATATAAATTGTTTGTGTTTGATTGTTGTTGTATACTTTTTCTTTTGCTTATGATATTATTTTCGTATAATAGTTGATATCATAGGGATTTATGATTAGAACAAAATAGGACTTCTGCGGCAGTAAATTTTGCATTTGGTACGAGTGATTGCTGCTCGAGGAGGACATCCAGGATTTTTTTTTTATTCCCACACGGTTCCGACATCAGACCCGCAGCTCCAGTTGTTGGAATGGAGAAAATTTTAGGATATGACAAAGACTAAAAATTTATGGAAGAAACTTCACTTTTATTTATCACATTTACTTGGCTTGATACAAACCTAAAGACTCCACCCCTATTTATACTAGTGGCGACTCCTAAATTAATTGCAAGGATTGTGACACTACAATTCCAATATAATAATTACAAATAATTACATACCTACGATACAATAATTCCACACCTATCACACCCATTACACCTACCACATATTCTAGAATAAGCTTCTGGATGAGACATGATAAAATCAAGTTTATATTTCAACACCCCTTCTTAAACTTGGTTTTGTGACTCTAAGTAAACTTCTCATTTTAATAAAATCTTCACTCTTGAGTGACTTGATTATCCTGGTGCGGCAACGTTTTCGGAACATCGCCGTTGTGTTTGAATAACACGTTGGGGCGGCATTCTGGGAACGACGCGACGCACGTTATTTATTTTATATTACAATCCCGATCGCGGGGAAGGCCTTGCGTTTGGCGTTTGAAGCTGGATTTTAGGTCGTGAATTCCTCCCGCGCCCTTGGTTTTCTCTATCGCGCTCTCCCTTGCCTTCACCCTCACTAATCTTCTCCCTCGCAAACATCACCTCCTGTTGGTTACTCCGTTGAGATCTGGTATGCTTTCTGGTTAGGTTTTGCTTGATCTTCTCCTTCCGATCATCGATTGAATTCTTTTCATTTTTTTCTCAAGATTTGGTTTGGATCTCTGTTTTTATTTTGAGAATATACTTCCTGGACTATTTGGGAATGCATTGCAGAGCAAGGAGTTGGTTTTTTCTAGGTGCAAGTTTTGATTTCCCGTGAAAATCGTTTCTGTGCAAATAGTTTTTGAGGAAATCGTTCCCGTGCAAATCGTTTCCGTGCAAATAGTTTCTGTACACTATAATGATGTTTTGGTGATTCTTAATTTTTCCGAAGTTGCAGCATGTTTCTGTACAAATCGTTTTAAATTTTATTTAGGGCTTTAGATTTTGAGCATAGATTTTGGTTGTTCCCGTTTCTGTGCACTTTGGAAAAGATTTTTTCCCATTGCAATGCCAATTTGCGTTGGAACATGTTTCTGTGCAAATTGTAGCTTTCGAGTATGTTTTTGGTTTTCCTGTTACTGTGCACTTCGAACAAATGGTTCTTTGGAAGGCTTGGTTCTCCCTGTTTCATTGCAGTTAGAGAGAAATTTTGACTGCATACACGATGTTACAAAGAAATCGATGATTTCGATTAATATGGCTGGTAGATACATCAAAGCAGCAATTTTTTTCCTTGAAAAATAGATTTGCCTTTAGATTAATGTGGCTGCTACATACATCAATGCATGAATATTTTGGTGATGACATAAGTTGATACATTATGCAATCTTTCGGGTATGGTGTATTTAGAGTTGACTTTGATATTTTTGTGGGAATCTCGGTTGAAGGGGTAAGGGGCTGACATCAATGCATGAATTTCGGGTATGGTGTATTATGCAGTGCAAAGAGAATATTGGGTATGGTGCTTTAAAGAGAATATTGGGTATGGGGATTTAAAGATAATATTGGCTCTGGTTTTGTTACAAATGTACATGAAATTTTTTTTTTATGAATCTTCACTCTTGAGTGCTTTATGAGCAAACATCATTCACATAATTGATCAGGGTGGTTGATGCAAGGTAATCTTTGACCATCTTTTTCTTTGAAAGCAATTCGAGTCCTCTGAAGTTGAGATGCCCAAATCGAAGATACCAGAGCCAAGAAGCTTCTTTATAACAGGTCTTAAGACATTTGACAATATCATTTTGGATGTTGAGAAAGAACATTTTATTTTTAGACATTGACACCTTAGCAATTACGTTACCAATATTCTCTTTTAAGAAAAGAGTTTTTTCTTTCAAGTGAATATCATATCCTTTCTTCTAGAGTTGCCCTAAACTCAAGATGTTGCTCCTCATAATCAACACAAACTAAACATTAGAAATAAATTGATGCTTCCCATTTTTCTGATGGATGAGAATGTTACCTTTGCCTTTCACCTCTATCTTGGATTCATCTCCAAAAGACACATTGTCGCTTACTGATTCGTCAAGCTCTACGAACATGCTTCGTCTCCCACACATATGGTTGCTTGCACCGGTGTCTATGTACCATGTATTATCTTCACCTTTTTCATTGTCCTTGTATGCTAGAAGTAGAGTGCCATCTTCTTCTCCTTTTTCTTTTATGTAGTTGACTCTTTCATTAACTTTGTTCTTAGGTGTTCTACATTCTTTCGCATAATGCCTGAACTTGTTACAATTATAACACTTAATTTAAGATTTATCATACCTCAAGTTTGAGCACCCTCGACCACATCATCTTGTAGATCTTTCTCTTTGCTCATAGTTATTGTTGGTACTCCATCTTTGCTTGCTAGCATGACCTCATCCTTGTCCACTACCTCTTCCATGTTGGCTTCTAATTTTGTTGAAGCTTTCATCTTTCTGTGTTGGTCAGAGATTCATCTTGAGAAGTTGTTCGACAATCTCTTCATTCATCTTCTTCTTTTCTTCATGGGCTTGCAATGAACCCAGAAGTTGCTTTATCGTCATGGCTTGTAATTGCTTGTAAGACCTTGGTCTGTTCTTTAATGGTTGTGATATTATCAAATTTTGAATCTAACGATCGAAGAATCTTTTCCATGATAGCCACATCTTCTAACTTCTCACCATACTATTTGTTTTTAGTTGATTGGAAATGATAATGACTCTGGAAAAGTAATCGGAGACAACCTTGCCTTCTTTCATATGCAAAACTTCAAATTGGCTTCTTAAAGTTTGAAGTCGTACCTTTTTAACTTTCTCTTCTCCCTTATATGAAACCTCGAGCTTCCATCTTCATCTAAAGCTTGATAGATGAGGAAGTGAGTCTTCTTGTCTCTCTTTTGCAAATCTCTTACGCTATCCTTTTGTGTTGTGGATAGAGCAGACTCGTCGCTTGGCTCATCGTAGCCTTTCTCCACAACCTCCCAAACGTCATGCGCTCTAAGGAGTGCCTTCTTCTTGATACTCCAATTTTCGTAGATGCTTTCCTTAAGCATTAGGACTTGGAATAGAACTTGGAAGAAAACCATGCCACCGTTTGTCATTACTCTATAAAGGAACCTTTAGGCTCTTATACCACTTTATTGTAATGGATAAAGCTTTTAGGATATAACAAAGGCTAAAACTTTATGGAAGAAGCTTCACTTTTGTTTATCACCTTTACTTGGCTTGATACAAGCTCATAGACTCCATCCCTATTTATACTAGTGACACATCCTAAATTAATGGCTAGGATTAAACCACGACAACTCTAATCTCCTGGTTACGAATAATTTCAAACCTACTACACAATAATTTCACTCCTACCACATCTACTACACTATAATTTCATACATATCACATATTCTAGAATAAGCTTCTAGATGAGACATGATAAAATCAAGTTTATATTTCAACACTAGTGAGATCTGGCGGCTCCGGCCAGTTCCGTCGTGAACAAGCGTTAGGCATCGTGTGGAAGATTGCAAGATCGGGTGGAATTGAATATCGATCGGGAGCTTAGCGAGCACAACCAAAACAAAAAAAACAAAGAAATTTTTTTTTGAAAGAGAGAATTTCTAAGAAGGAAAAAGTAGTTTTGGAAAGTTGAGGGTAAGATTTCGGATAAAGAATTGCGTGGGATCAGGAATTTTGAAAAGGAAAGTTGCAAACATTGGATTTCGGTTCTGCATTAATTTTTTTTATTTAAAAAAGGAAATTCCCTTAAAAGGATATTTTGGGGAAAAAATGTTCAGGAAAAAAAAATTATTTTTTAAATTTATTTATTTTTTTTGGGTGAATTTTTTTGTTCTTTATTTTTTATTCTTTTTTTCCAGATAATCTATTAGGAATTTTTTTTGGAAAGAGATTTAATTAATGGGAGCAATAACATGATCTCAGATTCTTCAACATCTATTATGATGATGGAAAAGTGATTGATCAGGCGGTTACACATCCCGTCAAAATTGATATGATGAAATTTGACAACAAAATGGACTTTGGCATGTGACGATTCAAGGTGATGACTGTGTTGTGTTCTCTGGATCCGGAGAAAGTCCTGGATAGCGAGGAATGTCTTGAATAGATGTGAGAAAAAGATTAATTGAAGGTGAACATGATTTTTTGTCACTTGATTCAAAATTGTATGACACAATAGAACAAATATGAGGTGATGATGGAGACATCTATAGACAAATTGTTAAAAATACTGGAGAACAAATATCTCACGAAGCGCGATGAGGATCGTCTCCATATAAAACATCAACTCTACAGATTTCAAATTGGACGGGGAGTTACCATTGATGAGCACTTGAATGACTTCAGAAAAGTTGTTAGCAAATTTGTTAAATTTTGATGAGAATGTTGAAGATGAAGACAAGGTGCTTATCTGTTGAATTCTCTCTCAGATGAGTACGAAAGCTTTACGATGACACTCATTCGTGGGAATGAAGTATTGAATTATGGCTAAGTAACCACGACACTATTGAATCATGAGTTCCGTTGAAGGGACAAGGAGTCAGCAAAGATGGAATCAAATGAGACACCTACACTCCAACATGGTAAATCAGAAATGAATAAGAATTTGGTAAAAAAAAAGTGGCAGCAACGACACTTTTCGAAACCAGAGCAAGTCTTGTGAGTGCAGTCTTTAGAAAAATCAATGTGTTTTCTGTTTAGAGACTGATCAATGAAAGAAAGATATTAAGTTGAAGCAGAAGGGAAAAAGCTGCATCTGTGATAAAAGCCAATTTTATTGTGGAAAGATGTGAAGACACAAATCCAAATATATCTTTGTCTGCAGTTTCTCATAGTCTGTTTATAGATGATTTGTGTTGGATTCTAGATACAGGTGCCACCTATAATATTTGTTCTCATCAAAGATAGTTTTGTATGTACAACGAGCTGGATAACGATGTAGTGATTATGCACAACGATCAAACTTCTCATACTATTAGTGTAGAGAGTATCTTTTGTCATGATGCATAATTGTACTATGAGGGAGTTGACTGATGTTAAACAATTCCAGATATCAGAAATAATTTGCTGTCGGTCACGGCTTTAGAGTCCAAAGGCAACAAGGTAATTATTGAGGAACGAGTTTTGAGGATATGTCATAGAGCAACGGTTTTTATGAAGAAAGTTCATCATCGTAGTCTTTACTATCTTCAGGGTATTATAGTGACTGGAACGACTGATGTGGCTGATAATTCATCTAATGCCACTATATTGTGTCATATGGTGCTAGCTCATGCTAGAAGGCTTCAGTTCAGGCTATGGTGAAGAAAAGATTGATCAATGTAGCGAGCACCTGCAAGCTAGATTTCTATGAATATTGTGTATTTGGCAAGAAGATATGGGTATCATTTGGAATTTTCATCCATAGTACAAAATGTATTTTAGAGCATGTTCACATATATATTTGGGGCCCGATGAATACAACATCGTTCAACGAGCAAATATACTTTGTCTCTTTTATTGATGATTACTCCACATATTTTGGGTGTGCACCATGAAGTGCAAAAGCGAAGTGCTATAGATTTTCAAAACTTGGAAGAAATGGATTGATACTCAGACTGGGAAAAAGATCTGATGTATCAGATTAGACAATGGGGGTGAATATAATTTGGATGTACTCTTGTAAGATTGCTAGAGAGCTGAGATAGAGCACAACTTCATTGTTGAGAGACACCACATAAAATGGGGTGGCAGAGAGTCCATTGGTGGATAAATTTTTGTGAATGTTATGCAATTCCGGGTTGGATAGAGTCTATTGGGCCAAGGTCATAAAAAATGCCTGTCACTTGATGAATCGTCAACCTTTTGTAGCTATTAGAAAGAAGAACCCAAAGGAGATGTGTTCAAGGCATCCTACTGGAGATTATGAGCGCATGAGGGTGTTTGGGTGTCAAACTTACTGTCATGTGTAGAATGATAAGTGGGACCACGAGCAAAGAAGGTAATCTTAATTTTTTTCATGTGTGGAGTCAAGGACTTAAAGTTATATGGTTTTTGAGAAAGGAAGGTTGTAATGAGCAAGGATGTTACATTCAGCAAGGTAAGCTTATTGAAAATCTGGTACTCAAAGCAGGTGGAGAGTTCTACTGGGACCACAGATATGCAACAGAAGTTTGAGTCTGACGCAACTCTATTTGTTTCACAGAGTTTGTCCCTTCTGATTTGGATATCTGATTCAATTCCAGCTCAGGAGGTACCTGTTCATAGTGCTTAGGAGGAGATGAAATAAGATATTGAGGATGAGATTCCTACACAGAAATCTATTGCTAAGAGACGGATTGGGCGTCATAATATCCCAAAACTAGCTTGGTTTAGGGATCACATTGCATTTGCACTTTTCAGTCATATAGGCAGAAATTCTTTATCACTACAAAGAAGCGATGAAGAGTCCACACTATAATCTTTGAAGATTAGTAATGGATGAAGATTTAGAGTCTCTTTGGAAGAATGTTACTTGAAGGTTGGTGATGCTTCCTATGGGAAGGTAAGCCATCGAGCTGCAAATGGGTGTATGCAAGAGGAAGAAGGATCACATGGAACTGATGTGTGATACTAGACAAGATTAGTGGCAAAAGGCTTTGCTCAATGAGAAAAGATTGATTCTGATGAAGTATTCTCCCCAGTGGTCAAGCATCTCTCAATCCGGGTTCCTTTAGCACTTGTAGCGCAATACCGTCAGATCTTGAAACCGTTTGATATAAAGATTGCATTTATATCTGAAGAATTACAAGAGTAGATCTACACGTTTTAACCACATGGATTTGGAGTATCAAAATAATTGGTTTTCAAATTGGAGAAGTATTTGTATGAGTTGAAGTAGTCATCACGATAGTGGTATAAAAATTTTGATCAGTTCAAGAAGGGACAGAAACACACAATTGTGTTCTAAGCAGGTTTATGCATGATTCAATAAGAAGTCATTGACAGGCTATGAAGAGTTTTTTGAGGTATATGAAGAATAAATGTGACTTTGGCTTGGTGTTTGAGAGTTGATAATCCAGTACAGCTTTGTGTGTAGCCTACACTAACTCAGAATATACAGGTGATATAGATAAGAAGAGATCTACAACTACTATTTAGATAGAAGGTCCAACCAGTTGATGGTTGGTTCTTCAATTTATTGTTGCTTTGTCTAGTATGGAGGCTGAGTAAGTGACAGTCATGGAGGCGATGAATGAAACAATATAAATGCAACACCCATTGAATGAGATGATAGTTGTTCAAAAGTCTCTGACGGTGTTCTGTGACAGTCAGAGTGCAATATTATTGGCTATAAATCCAGTTCATCTTGCTCATACCAATCACATTGATGTGAGGTACCATTTTATTTGAGACTTGATTGAAGAAGAAGGGATTTTGTTGAAAAAGATAAAAATGAAGGAGTATTTAGTAGACATGCTTACAAATGTACTACCAGTCCAGAAGTTCACATAATTTAGGAGTATGGTGAACATTCAAGCTCAGAACTGGTTGCCTAAGCGGGCATTTTGAAGAATTGCGTGGGGTTTGATCCTTATAAGGAGGGCGGGGGTACGTTTGGTGCAGCTTGATTTGATTTTGAAACTTATTTGATCACCCCTCACTTATTTGGAAGTAAGAGATGAGTTGGATATTATTTTATTTATTTCTTATTTTGTAATTAGGAGTAATTTGGTCTTTTGGCTTTATTTACTTGCATGTCATAGTCCTTATTTATAGAAGGGACCTAAGTCTTATGAGAGGTGTATGGTGAGAAGTGCAGATGTTGTAACCCTTAACATTTTTTCTTCTCATCTGGTGCTAGTGAAATCTCCCTCCCAGTGGACGTAGACAAATCATCTGAATTTCAAACCACGTAAATCACTTGTGTTTGATTGTTGTTGTGTGAATTTCTACTCTTCGGTATTATTTTTGCATAACAATATACATACACAAATATTATATATTTATAAAGCACTTCTTAAACATTAATTATTTTTAATTTATTTTATTTATATTAATTCAACTCTCCACTTTTCACATCCGAGCTTGTGTTAGGTAGTCGACAGCCAACATAAAAATTGTCAAAAAA